GTTATCTATAGATAACGATCGTTATCTAACGATCGATCGTTATTTCGAGAAAACGGAATTACATTCTCATGCGAAATCGTAGCATTGAGGCGGATCCATGCTTTAAAATTCCAATTAAATAGCTGCATGTACAATTGTGAAGTATTAATTGCTTTATGTGTTCAATTTTTAACGCAGAGGATTAGAAATTGACCCTAAAATACAGGCACTACTACTGGCTTTTCGCGACTAGATACAAAAGTCCTAGCTTGAAATTCAAATTGCTGATAACATGTTCATTGCAGAAACTATTAATTGTGCCCGGTAGGGAAAGATTTATATTCTGGAGTCAACATTCAATGAAAACGTAATTACGTAATTTATTTTCAACAAACGTACGGTTGATGAGAATTAATCTTCACCCAAAAGACCGTCAGCAATATATTTTTTGAATCTTGTGTATTCTGGGCGTATTGCTGAATCTGCTTTGTGAATTTGAGATACCTCAAGCTGAAATATCAGAACGAGAAATGCAAACTAAACATTTCGCTTGCTCTATATAGAGCAAGCGAAATGTCGTTTCTCAGTATGCCAATCGGTGGTTTATTTCAACAGTACATCAGACACCAACAAGTTCTTCACTTGTACTAATGCTTCTAGTCTTGTGGAAAGGAGTCTTATTTGATGTTGTCATACTCCTAAAGTTCACACACGACCTTCTCGGCTGACGTAAGCTAATTAGTGTGTTTACTGACTCCGAAGATTATGAATCACCCGGTCTTAAATCCGATTTTATTCCACGAATGTGGACTGATTAATTACGCATAGTTTATTGCTTAAGTAGATTCAAGTCAACAATTTGTTCCCGAAAATGCATTTTTGAGAAACTGCGATACACTTCTCGTGGTTTTGAGAAAAATTCGCAAAATTGGGCGTGCGTGAGGCACTACGGAACTAACAATTTCCGTGACGCGATCCGTATCGTTCACGCTCTTTGAACTGTTACATTCAAGTTATTGATTCTGTCCATATTCACACGACATCAACTGATTATCTACCATGTTTTATCACATTGGGGTTCAACCTCATGCGAAACACTTGTAGTAATTATACTTACTTATCTAACGTCGCGGCTTTTATATATTGTATTTAATGAAACAGGGCAGTCTTATAAACACCCGTCGTAAAAACCTCCAAAACGGCTTCCAAAAATTACGGCTCTGCATGCTTTAGCAAAATTTTAAGCCACAGAGGTAACAACAACGGAGATAACATATGTTCGGAATTATAACATAATCTGCTTCTTCACTAGCACTACAGGCTACAATTCCCGAGTAAGTCTACTGTGTTTAAATTGACCTCAAATAAAGAATGTAAATATCCCGCATGTAAAGCGAAATATACGAGTTTGAAGGAAGGGAATTATGCCTTGCTGTTGCACTGTTACCGAAGGACCCTTCGCAGCGCTTTTAAAAGGATAAAATAGTGCGACATTGTACCTGCTAACTGCCAATCACTGTCGAGAAGAATGGATAAAGTGTGGAGTAAAACAAATAGGACGAACATAATTGAAGGCACTAGAGACTATGCAAGGAAAATGTACTTGCCGGCCTCAGATTTTCTAGGCAAACGCTGTCGCAATCACCCTCAGAAATGTTTTGACTAAGTATGTACGTTTGCAATACACTGTTCTAAATAGCAGCGCGTAGTGGTTTAGGTAGATATAATTAAAGTATTTTTATAAGACTAATCGAATAACGCATATAAATTTAGACAAACAGACATCAAAGGCCGTAAACATGTGCTACACTTGGAACATTTACCCTGAACATAGAATATTTTGACAAAATTTCCTTATTTCAGCGTTCTCACACAATGAATGAACGGGGCATTGTGGAGGCCGACAGTCTCGAGAATCTTAATTACAATGATCGAAATGAAGCATTGGTAGGTAATGAAGGTTAGGTTAAACATTCTAAAAGAGCAAAGAAATTCTGCACCTACCCATGCTCTCTGGTTCAGACAGTATTGGAAGTGAAAGCTTGGACTACAGGGGCTATCTGGACATAGAATTCGATGGCAGCGCTTCCTTTAGCAGCGAAGTAAGTTTCGATTTCTAGGCCAGTTACTTGCCAAATTTATTAGCAAGAATCTGGGGGTCCAAATCAAGTACGCGTAGAGCGAGTAAATTCCCAGGAGAATGCTTCCACCAGGACTATACGACCGCTCAGTGTGCTCCTACATAAAGAAAATCCAAATGAAATCTCCAGCTGGATTTGTGAAACGCGTGAGGAAGAATCAGATGGATTGACGCATGGAGGATGGGTATGTCTGAAATCAGATCTTTCAAGGAAACTGTTATGGCGTTATTTTTAGTTGCAGTGTATTTATTAGGGAAGATTCTGGCTTGATCTACGCCCCCAATATGTTATTCAGACTCAATATAAGCACATCTCCTCTCATTGCCAATGTCTATTGTAGATTTACAGAAATTATTATCCATATAAAATAGGTATTAGCCTTATACCTCCATTAAGCTCTGACTATGCTTAAAAGTAATTTTCGAGTGATTGAAACGGACTTATAATGAAAGGATTTTTCAGGTTTTCCTTGGGAGTCGCATTTGATACTGTATAGTCAGAGGGGTATTCTATCAACTTTGTTATAATAAGAAGGACTACTGGCCAATAATATATTTAGCCAATTAGAACGGAGTGACGACAGCTCATGTGATTTCGTCAACTAAACCGCAGAGTTGAACGTTTTAGCCAATCAGAACAGGAGGAAACGCCGTATTAACCAAGTAGCCAGAATATCATTGGCTGCGCCGAAATTGCTTCATACACCCGTAATTCTGTAACATAATGGGTATATTCAAACAACGGCAAGCAAGGTAGACTAGTGCATGAGTAATATTTACCACAGTTCTATTTTATGAATATTTTACACACATAAGTGCAAACCTTTTTCTACCTAATTCCCGCGAGCCTCTGCAAATGAACCCCGGAACCTTTAACTTCTTTGCACTGTCTTAAAGACTGAAGAAACTGTTTTGAAACTAACCGAATGGCTGCTGTCTAAGCAAAAAGAGTGGCTTGCAAGACTCAGGCGTGGGGAAATGCTAACATAAGACCTGGATTCCTTAAATTATGTCAACCTGGCGAATTCTCAGCACTCTGCCTGGCAAACCAGTGGAACTCTGATGGACTCAGGTAACACAATTCACACCTGTCAATGCTGCTGCATACACTTTGGGCATCCGTATGGCACATATAAGACGGCAGGTTTTATCACAGTGTCATCACTACCAACCGAAATCCCAGACGCGAATACTAATCAAAAATCAGCACTAGTAATTGTGCTACCAACAGTATTGCCAATAGCGCTATTTCCACGGACACAGTTTTATCTTGTCCTTGGTGCCAACCTACATTTGAATACCGCATCGGCCTGAGCTTCTACTCGGCAATACACCACACTGGAACCTGCCTATCAGATCATTACGCTACCTGGAGGCGGCCTTTATGCGGTGGTTAAAACCCGACCTATGTTAATAGTTGGAGCAGGTATTTAACCTAATTAACACATCCGTCCCCTCTTTTTGCTTCAAATTTTTCCCCCGCTTATGTTTCCCATGGTGTGTTTTAACTCGCTCACATTATTGATTACCTTACGTGGCTTTTTACTATGACATTGTTGTTTGCATCGATATTTCTTTAAGAATTAAATTATTTGTATCCTCTCATACGTTATTCATGTTGTGCAACGGAAGAAAGCAGCTGAAGAGCACCCCCTAAATCTATTGCTTCCGTTAAATTCTGCAGTACTGGCATGCTTTCAGTTTGCACCAGAGATAAAATGCTATCAATCTCCAGTAAAATGACACAACCTACTCCATCCTACACATGGGCCTACTCGATAACACACGCACATGTTATAACCCCCACCCCCGCAAAGCATCATCCCTGGTTCTTGCAACAAAGATACAGTCCACTTTGCTACCGCCGTTAGGGCAAAAAAACATCAGATGCAAACAGATATCAGACGATAGATTAGCGAATATGCGTTTTTTTTCGATAAATTCTCGTCAGGCCTTTACATTTATATGGTGAATAAGTGAATAAAATATACGG